TCAATATTAATCCCAAATCGGCGAAAATTTTAGCTCCAGCCATAAATCAATACAGATATTTTTATAAGAATTCCTCAGAACTTTCAAATGTATATTTATACAAGGGCAATAGTCGAGATATTCCTGATAAGGTGGGAATGAAATACAGTTTTTATGCAGAACAAAGTTTGTATATATAGGGGTTGCTCAAGAGGCCAACATCAAAAGGTTGGATTTTACAACTTGCGACAGAATTCTCAAGAAGAGCTGAAATCGACTTATAACCAAACAGTTCTATGCCAGCAATACCTATGGACAAACTAATCCGAAACGGGAAATTGTAGCATAATTCGATTTCAATTGATCTAGAGGCCTAGCATCTTCAATCTGTTTGGAGTCTTAAGGCAGCGACTGATGTGAATCCAAATTTATTGATGCAGTTGAATAGAAAGAAACAGCTATATGGATGCACTTTGCCGGGCTGAATAAACCTCTCAAGTAGCATCAATAGAAGAGGCAGCTTTACCTACTTCCATTTTTCAATTTCCCTCACTCTCCCTCTCTCTTCACTCTCTCTCTCTCTCTCTCTCCCACTTATCTCTTAAATAACAGAGCATACTTCCTAAACACATAACAGTCGCAGCTTCCACTTTCATCTCGGGCTGCCAGCCAGCCACATTGTGTGGTAATAAATCCTTATGCAATTTTCATAAATTTGGTGGCTGGGAGAGCTACCTTGCCCCAGCTTCGGCCCAAACTGCCTAGCGAAGTTGGTCGCGTTCTACATTCAATAGAGCCAAGAGCCAGTCAGTGAGTCGAGTCGGTCGCTGGGTCTGTCAGTCGATAAGCAGATTAGCTTACTGGGCTCATTTGCCAGCGAACCGCAAACAGAATTGGCTTAAGTGCTGGCTCATTGTCAGCCCCATTATGGGCCTGGGTAATCCCATGTGACGTATGTATTTAGTGCTCGACTCGTCGATAGCCGGCAAAAACAACAATGTGGCAAATGACAAACCACCTGCCCTCCAATTTGGAGCAGCCCATCCGATCCGATTCGATGCCAGCCGATGCGACCCCGCTGCTGTCCTCGTTTTCCTCCGACTGTGCCTGCTCCACCAATTTTTTTATTTTTTTTTTATATTTTACTTTTTTGCTGACGCGCGTAAAAACTACGCCCAATGCAGCAGCAGCAGCAGCAGCGGCAGCGGCAGCGGCAGCAGCGACAGCTGACCTACATCCGCATCCAAGAAAAAAATTAAAGCCAAAGCCGAGCCGAAGCGAGCCAAAACGAGCGTCGAATCTGACCTGAATTTGACAATGGAGGCACAGCTTTGTTGCTCTGGAAGCCATCTACTTATCCAAACAGCAAAGCCGCCAACATTTTTAATCCAGCTAATTTTCAATTAACTCTCGCAAGGAAAAGCCATGAAAAGCTGAGCACAACTGCATTTGGCATTTGGGTGATTTGCATGTTGTTCAGGACTGGCGACTGGGTCGCAGGCAGCTGACCTACGCCACATCCCAAAGGACAACGGACAAAGGACAATGGACAAAGGACGACAGGGCCCAAGGAGCGTACGTGCAACGCCTTTTTGTTGCCTTTGGGCGTCGCTCAGCGCTCGACGCGCGACGCTCGACGCTCAACGCTCCTCGAGCTCTTGGCCGGGTAATTGATGTTGACGTCGCCTCGTTGCCCGGCTCGGCCTTGTGCGTAATTGACGCTGACGCTGATGCTGATGTCGACGTCGACGTCGTCGTCAACGTTGCTCCAGGCAGAATTGCAAAGTTTTTCTTCTATATATTTAATGCACACTCTGTTTTCATCTTAATAGTCCATGAAGGAGCACATTGGCTGTCGCTGTGTAGCCTCTTAACCTCTCTTCTTCTTAGAGACCTTTCCATCAGGTCTTTCTTCCCGGCTTAAAGCTAGACAATTCTTTATTCATTGTGTTCATTGGGTAGATAGATTTTCTTCAGCAACTTATCATCCTAGATTAAGCGAGCTCCGCTCTTGAAGGCATTGCTACAAATTCTCCTCAGTTCTATAGGTCCTACAATTTGAGAGGTAGGTCTCCTCCTTATTCCGTTTTACAGCTACAGAATGGGAGTTAAAAAAAAAGATTTTGCTATATTTTTCTGTAAATCCTGGAACTTTTAGAAAAAGTTCTAATGAAATCCTTTATTTTCTTTAGAGCTCCAAAGGCTCAGCTTACATATATATTTAGTCACCTAATCTCTACTCTCTGCAGGAGATCTTAAGATTTTACAGAAGATTTTATACCACGCATTTGTCTACAAATCTTTATACAATATATGTATGCATAAATAAATCTATTAAGATCACTGATTGAAAAAATCTGTAAATTTAGTTTGTAGACATCTGTATATTCAAATAATATCAATAATGGTGCAGGATTTTAGGCAGGAATTATATTCTCATTTATCCGTGTACTTTTCGCATTTTGAGATCTAACAAATTCCTTATACTGGCGACTTTTCCTATTAACATATATATTGTATTAAATAATTTTCAAACTTGACTTCATTGTTCTTATGACTGTCAATTTGAAAATCGTGAACATTAAACTCTTCTGAAAGCCAATCCATTGGCAGACAAATCATTTTTCTAATGGAATTTCATATTTGATATGTTTGGCTCCCAGCGACGCCCATTTCCGCAATGAGAATCAAAGAGCTGTCATTCCCAATTACAATCGGTGCTGGGCATCCTGAGTGTGTGGTTATGTCGAATGGACTCTATTGTTTTTATACCCTGAACCCATTTTCAATGGGAAATCAGGGTATAATGGTTTTGTTGAAATGTATGTAACAGGGAGAAGGAGGCGTGGCAGACCCCACAAAGTATATATATTCTTGATCAGGGTGACGAGCTGAGTTGATTTGGCCCTGTCCGTCTGTCTGTCCGTCTGTCCGTCTGTCCGTATGTATGAACGCGTCGATTTCAGAAGATATAAGAGCTAGAGACTTCAAATTTTTTTTTAAAGTGTCCGTAATTACAGCGCGCATATCAAGTTTATCATTAAAAATCGATAACTCATCTCGATCTTTTTTTTATCGATAAAAAACCTTATCGAAACCCAGTTATAAAATTATATCTTCTACACCTTTATTGCTAGAGTCTCCAAATTTTTAATGTATGCTTATATGCAATTTATACAATTTCGGTTTTTGTTAAAATTTACCCCCCACCTCTAAATTCACCCCCTCACCCTCACTTTTGTAAAAAGCGTATTTCAAATACTAGAGACTTGTGCTTTGGCAATTACATGCATATTCATGTTATAATCATAATCTAAAAGTTTCATGAAGATCGTACGTCCATAAAAAAAGTTATTAAACAATTAAGTTTTCATAGTAAGCGCACACTGCAGCCCATGCGTGTTTATGCGTGGTTGCTTGTGTGTGTATGTGTTTGTGTATGTGTGTGTGTATGTGTGTGTGTGTGTGTGTATGCGTTTGTGTCTGTATGCGTGTGTGTGTATGTATGCCTGTGTGTGCGTACGTGCGTGTGTGTGTGTGTGTGTGCGTGTTTCTTGTGTAAGCTGAAAGTCGCGAAAAAGTATTGAAATATCTATTGCTCCAAGGGTTCAGGGGATCTCGTAGTCGAGCAGTCTCGACTAGAGCTTTCTTACTTGTTGTTTTTGTTTTTGTTTTCATTTGTTGTTGTTGTTGTTTTTGTTGCCATCGGTTATCATACGGACCACTGGCTCAAGATGCTGCCAGATAACCCGCCAGCGAACGAGCTACGCAAATGGTGGGCGGCCAAGGAAGAATGAGACAGGAGAGGAAGGTAGGACAGGCAGGCAGTAGATGGCAGGAGGAGAAGGTGCGCGGGGGCCACAGGCATTTCGTCAGTGAAACAATGGCAGCTGCTATGTGTTCCCTGGTGCGAATTGAGGTGAGTGGCGACTGTAGGGTTCGGTTTTTCTTCTTGCTTGCTTTCTTTCTTTCTTTGTATTTTTATTATTGTTGTTGGTTTTTGGGTTCGGCCATGCCCATTGATACATGGCGGCGGCCGTAGACAACGGGCAATCAAAAGAAACCAAACAAAGGGAATGAAAGAAAGGAGGGGCAAGAGAAAATGGGAAGCCGGAAGTGTGTGTGTGTGCTTGTGTGAGTGAGTGAGTGAGTGTGTGTATGTGTGCTTGTGTGAGTTCGTAGTAGTAGCTGTAACCCCCCGCTAGCCCCACTCAACAAGCGAGGGCGGAGGTAGACAAGAATCCGGGCACATGCAGCGCACATGGCAGGCAGCCGCAGCAGCAGCAGCAGCGACCACAGCGGAACGTTATGGGAAATGAAACAAAAAAGGGCTCGACAGACGCACACGCAGGCAGACTACAAAAGGCGTAAACAAAATGGGAAATATTGAAATTTATCAAAGCGGCTTTAGCTTTGTTGTTGTTGTTGTTGCCAGATATTTTGTGCAATTGCAGCAAAGTTAGTTAGACAAACAGAGAGAGAGAGAGAGAGAGAGAGAGAGAGAGAGAGAGAGAGAGAGAGAGAGAGAGAGAGAGAGAGAGAGAGAGCAAAAAAAGAGAGAGCAAGAGAGAGAGTGTTACATAGGCAGCCAGAGCAGAAGAGAGCGCGTGCTGCTTACAGGTAAATGAGAACGCTTGCTTAAAACAAAAAAAGTGATATATTCATACATATATACATACATATATTACAATATACCTATATACACACACACACACGCACATAGAGTTTGAGGCAAGGATACAGATAGTGCTATCGATATATGTATTGGGAACTAAACAAATCAAAATGCAATCAATGTAAATGGGACGCACTTCAAGTGCATAATAGCGGGGTCTCAAGTGGAGGGGCGCCACTCGAGGCGCCACTTGGCGTCCACTCCAAATGGTACAGCAAATAGAATAAAAACAACAACAACAGCCAAAGTATGGCGCTACTTTGACACGCTCGTTATGGCTGGTTGGGTGTGGGAAGCAGGTCGAGTGGGCAGGGGAGCGGGGGATCCTTGGGGCTCTGGTACTCACCTCTAGGTAAACATCGCTATCCGGATTGAAGGTGTCATTAACCCGACGAAATGTGTAATTCACATGCGGTATTGAATGCAGGATTTTAACGAGTATGCTCGGCTGTTCCATTTTTATGTCTCCTTTTGCTCCGTTTGCTGTTCCTGTTATTGTTGTTGTTGCTGCTCACACAACGCTGGCGCTTGCACGCTCGCTCGCTCTCTTTCGCTCCCTCTCTCTGCCTCTCTGTTTCAGTCACTCGTATTTCGGCTAGTCGCCGTCGTCGTCTTCGCAGCGCTGCTTCTTCTTCTGCTTGCTTGCTTCTCTTTTTTTTTTCTTTCTTTTTTTGGTATGTGCTCCTTTATATTGTTATGCTGCGTAGCTGTATGTGTGAGCGTGTGTGTGTGTGCGTGTGCTGTGGGGTGGCAACGGGCGGCGTAGTAGATGTGGCAAAGCTGCTCCTGCTGCTGATGCTGCTCCTGCTGCTGCTTTTGACGTCACAACGCCGCGTCTCGTTTCAACGCAAAATTGACTTGAGAGTTTAGCGCATTACACTCACTGCTGCTAGAGGGAGGGGGGTAAAAGAAGTTGAGTGGGCTGTGGGGAGGACTATATTCGTATGCTTTACGCACACGCACGCACAAATACACACACACGAGGCACGTTAGTGTGCGCAGAGGGCGAGCGTGCGAGCGAGACAGAGGAAGAGAGCGGCTGCTGCGGCGGGGGTGTTAATGCGTGCGCTTCACACGCTGTGCCAAATTCCAAATTCCCAATCGCTTGCTCTTTCTCTCTCTCTCTTCCTCTCTCTCTGGGCCGCTCGCCCGGTCTATCTGCCTCTGTCGCTCCCGTTCGCCTCTGCCTAGACACAAAAACGTTCTCTCATACACTCGCGCGCTCTTTGTTCTCTATTTCGTCTGTTTCCATGTCCTGTGCCACAGCGTGCGTGCCTCGCTCTGTGTGTGTGTGTGTGAGTGCACATGTGTGTGTGTGTGCACGTGCGTGTGTATGTGTGCGCGTTGCCTGCGCTAAATTTTCACTTTCACTTTTCACACACCCAAAAAAAAAAAAAAAAAAAAAAAAAAAGAAATAGAAACATACAAAAAAAAAGGGCATAAATTCTGCACACAAACTGTCGCCATATAACGGCATATATGCAGCCTTGCTAACGGCACTTTGCTAAATTGCCAAGCACAACAATTTTTGTTTTGATTTCAATTGCCGCATTCGCCGCTTGCTATCTCACTCGCACTCCAATGCCAAAAAAAAAACAGGACAAACTTTGCAGGAAAAACAATTTTGCTCACAATTCGATAAAAAAAAAAAAAAAAAAAAAAGCAAACGCTGCTTATCAGCGGCAATTTATTTAGATTTATTGTTTATAAAAAAAATATATGCACAATGAATTTGATTGTCGTAGGCATTATTAATATTGCTATAATAATGATTATTATTATTATTATTGTTGTTGTTGTTGTCGTTGCACCACACGCGTTATAAACTAATTAAGTTTTGTGTATTTTCAGTTTTTTTATTTTACTATTTTTTTTTTTGTTGTTCTTTTTTAGTTTTGCCGACGCACGTTAAACACGGCCACGGGGCGTTGTTTCATTTACCGTTTCGTTTCGTTTCGCAAGTAGCGTTGTTGCCGCGCCAGCGGTCCAAATGTGAATGAATCGAAAAACCTGCGCAACGTTTTTGGCTGCCTGCAAAGGCAGCCGCAAGCAGCAAGAAGCAAGAAGCGAGAAAATGAACGAACGAAACAGGCGCCGCGCCGTGCAGTGCACACCGAAGCCCGAATGCCCTGCGGCAGGCATCAAATGCCATCATATACAGCCAATTCTTATTAGACGAGAATTGATACAGCTACAGAAACAGATACAGAAATAGCCCAAGCTAGCTTAATTACTATAATAATTAAGTTGGCTAACTGTTCACGGGTCACAGTTAACAGTTAAGAGTAACTGTAACACTAGCTAGCGAAGGGCATTTGCAGTGCCACCCAGTGGGGCGGGTGGGCTGAGCTGAGGTGGGCTGTGTAGAAGAGGCGGCTGCTGCTGGAATTCAAATTGTAGCTGAGGAACGTAAACAAGTCGGCGCATGATTCATATCGATAACGATAACTGTCAAAAACTGAATAGGTTTGTATATATTTAAATGCAACTGCAAGCGAAAAGATGGCTTTCGGCTGCTGAGTTTTCAAATTTTTTGTTGTTTCTGTTATGTATATTAAAAATGTATAATATGTGTGCCACTTTTATCATAGTCAGCGATAAAAACAAGTTTTCCACAACAATAACAACAACTAACGAGAATAACCGCTTTGCTAGTTTCGCTGACTGCAGCTCCGCTCCGGTGACAAACGGAACGTATCCAAGTTTCTGGCCAGGCAGAGCCATCAACCACACACACACACACACTCACAGGGGCAAATATGTGTGTCTGTGTGCATGTAATCTGAGCAACCTTTTACGCGACAATAAAAAAAATACACATACATATGCACATATGCATGCCTGAATGAATATAAAAAAAAAAAATATTCTTAAGCTGGCGACAGCCGTTTTTATCGGCCGGCAAGTATGTTGATGTAAAATTATTAGTAATATACATATGTATATTGCTGTTGTTGTTGGTGCAGCATGTCGGGCGATCGGCATATCGTGGCATATCTGGCCCATGAATCAAAAAGGAAGGCGCAGGCAAACAGAGTGGGAATACTTAGTAGATATAATAAGCAAACAGGGGAGCCGCCAGTTTCAGCTCAGCTTATCAGCCCAGCGCACATGTGAAAAGTAAATAGAGACATAGCGCGAGAGGGAGAGGTACAGATAGTAGAAGAGAAGAATTTTCGGAAATTTGAAATGCAACCAAAAGTAACAAACTGGACTTGAACTTGGCTGCGAATGGGGATCTACAAACTGTAAAGCGTTTCGAATTGCAAGCCATTGGAGCTATTTATAACGAACAAAATGCACTTTTCAAACAACCAACAGACACACACACGCACACATCCTCACGCAGGCTCACACGCACACACATATACAGTATATGTGTACATGGAAAGCGACAAACACATTAACTGCATTATTTATGAACTACACTTTTTTATTCAGTTCCGCCGAATTACGTACTTAATGCATAGGCAACGCTATTTCGTTTATAGTTACTTATTTCACATTTAGTTTAGCTTCACATGTTCAGTTTAATTTAAAATACGCACTGTTAAACAAATGATTTCGTAGAGACGGCGACCAACAACACACACATCAACGTCAGTGTGACCGTGCACGACTGAAGTAGAAATACAGAAAGTGGTTGTAAGCAGGCCAAAATAAACTATGATTGTTCATGACGAAGTTCAAATACTCTTACAAATTATGTGACCCACGAATGTGACTTCTCTTTGTGAATATACATAGATATTACATACAAAATTAAATTGTTTCCTCCATACATACATATGTGAGATAATAGCAAGAAAGAGAGCATTGCGTTTGAGAAAACGTTACAAATATTTACATATATTTAAATATGTATATACATTTAGAAAAATATTTGTTTACATGAATAGTTGTTTAGATATAAATTTTACAAATTATATGACGACTTTATACATTTTAATTGAGTTACCATATATATTTAACTATATTCTCTATCAAATAATGCGTAGAAATGCCACAACAAAAATACTGAATTTGTGAAAAAGCTATCTGACAGATATAAAATATACAAGTTTCTATTTTGCCCGCGCAAAACTTCATTTTGAAATTGTAGTTGGCTTCGTATTAGAAAGTTTGTAATATTAAGTATCTATACTACTCATTCAGTTCATTATTTCAGTCCTTTCTCGACTCTCAAAGTATACGAAAAAATATAATAAAAAATGCAATAAACTGAATATTGAAGTCGTAGTAGGCTTCTCATTGCAAAGTTTGTAATGCTATACACCTAAATTATTTATTCAGTTCAGTCGGTTTTCTACTCCCGAGATATACACATCTTGTTTACGGAAAAAAAACTAGAATACAATAAACACAAATATAGTCGCTGCTATTTGGGTAGCATATTTCGATTGTACAGTACAGAAAAAGATAAAACTAGTTTGAATTACTATTTAATGCACCGCGTTGCTAAAAATTAAAAGCTAAATCAAAATTTACAAAAATTGCCTTTTTGGTGTTTTTCGCGTTACACGATAACGTCTATTTTTATTCGGCCATTCTTTTAATCGATAGACACATCGATAGTTCTGTCGTGCTGCACCATTCGTCGGTGCTTATCTTGTTCATCTCTAAAACGCAGTTGTTTTGAAGTTCTTTTATCCAATGGAGGAGGGAATGCTGGACGTTGCCAATGCATCCCACTATTTCGAAGGTGTTGAGAAGCTATTGGAGATTTGGTTTGAGGAGCGTCCAGAGCAGAATGGCGACTTACGCAACATCACACGCCCCGAATGGGAAGAGCTGCTGCGCCACGTTAGATGCGAGATAATCAGCTTTAAGAAAAACGATTTCATTGATGCCTTTCTGCTCAGCGAGAGCAGCATGTTCGTCTCGAAGCGCCGCTGGATTTTGAAGACCTGTGGCACCACCACACCTTTGAGGTGCCTTGAGCAGCTGCTCGATTTGGCCAAGCAGCAGGGATACACTGTCATCACCGATATATTCTATTCGCGCAAGAACTTCACCCGTCCCGAGGTGCAGCAGAGTCCCCACAAAGGGTTCTACGAGGAGGTCACCTATTTGGATAGCATCTTTCCCGAGGGCCGCTCCTATTGTCTCGGCTCAATCAATCTTGAATGCTGGTATCTCTATACATTCAGCAGGCCAGTCGTAGTCAAGGCCCTGCCTGATCTGCTGCTTGCTGCCGAGCAGGAAGACCATCTGAACACTGATCCAGACCAGACCATTGAGATACTTATGCAGAATCTCGACAAGGATGTCATGTTGGCCTTCAACAAGAGCCGCTTCGCCACAGGTCCCGAGGCGACCCAGCACTCTGGCATCGACCAGATCCTCCCTGACATGGTGATTGATGACTTCCTATTCGATCCGTGCGGCTACTCGATGAACGGCATCAACGAGCAGGGCGAATACATGACCATACATATAACACCCGAGGAGAAGTTCTCCTACGTCAGCTTCGAGAGCAACGTGGCCCTCAACAACTACACACGTCTGATCAACCAGGTCATTCGCACCTTCAAGCCGGGCAAATTCATCGTTACCATCTTTGCCAACAAGTCCTCGCTGGCCTACGATACAATGAAAGAGCTAGAGATCGAATATTCCACCCTGTCCAACTGGAAGCGCACAGATATGCAGTGCTGCAGCTTCCCAACCTACAATCTGCTGTTCGCTCAGTACTCGCGCTCAGTAGAAAATTGGGCTTAAAAGAGCCTCCGCAATTCCAAAAAAAATATTGTATATACAGCTGTGTGTTTTTTTTACTTATATATAAATATTGAGTTTATATAACTTTAGCATACTAATTCCTGGAATTTGTTTTACTATAGCTAAAGATGAACAATTCTCTTTTACAGTTTTTGATCTTTCGGGCATATACCTAACAATGCTCTTAGGACTTGACTAACTTTATCTTTTCTCAGCTGCTTCTTTAGCTACATTTTCGAATTGGCTCTATTAATATCCTTTAGCAAAGACAAAGGAGTAATCCTACACTATGTTAACTTATATACATATATGCAGCTTTATCTCTTTAGTTCATTTTCGGATTACCAGAATTCTACTTGGATGAACTTCTTACTATTACAAAATATTATACAAGATCTTAGCCTAACTGGAACTTGACATTGACATGGAACCTTCTCAGTCATCTTATAGATTCTGCTTATAGTTATATTCTGATTCGAGCTATTTTCAATCCTAAGCTTTTCAAGTTTTAGCAAATAAATTTAATTGCATCTAATCTCATCCAGAATTCAGAAGTTTCCCTCAGCATCCCAAGTCCACAAAGATGCACCAACAAACTCCGATTCCTGTCAACTCAAGCCCTCCAGATTCTCTAGCTATGCTAGCATTCACATTGGTTCCTTCTTTTAGATCTCTCTAGAACAGACGAAAGGGAATCTCTATAGAGATCCTAACTTCTGGCCTTAAAGAATCGCGCCGTTCTCGCTTGCACCGCACCGAAGCCCTCGCTGGCCACGTGGATGTGCCGGGCAATCCATGCCGGCAGCTTCTGTTGGATGCGCTCGCTGCCGTAGCGCTCGTCCAGCAGATAGACACAGGCGTAGTCGCGTATGTGGCGCACCGAGCGACCGATGCACTGGTTGACCGCCTTCATGCACAGATTCTCGTAGTATTCGTTGCCGGCACCGTTGCCCAGCGTCGCGTCCAGGTGTCGCATGCGCTCCTTGAGTTCGGGTGACGTACGATTTGGGTACGGCAGGCCGACGACAATGACGCCGCGGCCCAGCTGATCGGCAAAGTTAAGGCCCTCCGATAGCTTCCCACCCACCACGCTCAGCAGCAGCGCTCCGCCCGCTGTCTGATCAATGGCATTGGCATATTGCTGCAGCAACTGCTCCACGCCAGCTCCGCCAGCCGTTTCACGGAAGATGCGCTTGCGCTGACCAATCCTCTGCAATGCGCCGCTCTGCTCCAGATGCCCATAGACCGTGTCCAGGTAGGCGTACGAGGGCAAGAAGCAAACCACGCCCGCTGGCAGCACGCCGCAAAGGTTCTGCAGCACCATGCTCAGCTCCTTCAGCTGCAGAGAGAAATATTAGAGATTAGAGAGTTACTACATATTATAGGGTTAGTGCATAGAGCATATCTAGATCATAGGATTAGATCTTGTAATATCTTTAGCTATAGAGGAGTAGAATATATCCATATCTATATCTATATCTATATCTATATCTATATCTATATCTATATCTATATCTATATCTATATCTATATCTATATCTATATCTATATCTATATCTATATCTATATCTATATCTATATCTATATCTATATCTATATCTATATCTATATCTATATATATATCTATATCTATATCTATATCTATATCTATATCTATATCTATATCTATATCTATATCTATATCTATATCTATATCTATATCTATATCTATATCTATATCTATATCTATATCTATATCTATATCTATATCTATATCTATATCTATATCTATATCTATATCTATATCTATATCTATATCTATATCTATATCTATATCTATATCTATATCTATATCTATATCTATATCTATATCTATATCTATATCTATATCTATATCTATATCTATATCTATATCTATATCTATATCTATATCTATATCTATATCTATATCTATATCTATATATCCAATCCATACCATGGCTGGGCTGGTGCGTTCGGCATAGCTGAAACAGAGCCTGGCGCCTGTTGGTCCAGTGGGCAGGATGAATGGGAGCACAGCATCCGCTGGCACCACATGGTCATAGAAGCGCTCAACCACACGCTCTGGACAATGGGCAAAGAGCTGCTCCGTCAGCTCCTGGGTGGGTCGCATGGTGCCGCCCGCTATGATGAGCTGCAAAGCAGATGAGAAATGAAAAATGAAATGAATTGGATTCGATTGAGATTGAGACAGAGATCAACCACTTACGGCGCGCGCCTCCTTGACAATGTCCGCAAAGTGCTCGGCAGGATTGAGTAGCAAATACTTCAGTGTGGCAGTCTCCGGATTGAGCAGCACTCGGCCGTCGGCGGCATTGCTGGTGAGCGTCTCCAGGAATGCGATCAGCGGTCGAAAGGGCGAGGACATGGCTGGCGTCTGAGCTGCGGGCTGTGGGTGTGGCGGCTGCTTCGCTTTGTCATCCGCGTTCTCATCGGCCGCCTTGCGCTTGCATTTGCTCAGCGTCTGGCACTGCTGCTCGTGCTGGGCGGCCAGGCGCTGGAGCAGCTGCTGCGTGGGCGGCGGCCGGTTCTCGCTGGGGTGCGGCTCGCGCTGCAGCTGCCGGCCAAAGCTCTGCATCTTCTGGGCAAGGCGCGTGCGCGCACAGAACTCCAGAAGTTCATGCACGTCAATGTTGAAGAAGTCGCCCTCGGCACTCAGCTCGTAGGTGCGCAGCATGCGCGGCTCTCCGCCTGCCTCGAGCAGCTGCAGCAGCCGGCGCACGACATAGAGCAGCTGATTGATCCGCAACAGATTCGCACTGCTCAGGCGTCGGGCATAGCGCTGCTTGTACCCAGCCAGCTGTTGCTTGGCCAGCTGCAGCTGGGCCAGGCTCAGCTCGCTGCTGTGCAGCTGGGCAATGGTGTCCAGCAGATT